TACTGCATAAGCTGGTCTATATTATGCTTTTGCAGGGGATCAGGATCCTTTAATTCAGACTCAGCCATGAATTGGCTACAAAGCATGCTTTGTAGCAATGCCCACGTCAACATCTTCATTTTGAAGAAACAAAGTCATAGGTTTGCCTAACGTTGCTCGGTAGCTGTGTCGTGGGGCCCCACTCAAACTCTCTGCATATACGACGGTCAAACCTTTAACCTCTTTAAAGTACTGTTTTTGTTGTCAATCGTGAATTAATATGTAGCAAATATAAAACTAGTAAGACAATCATTCGCTCTAGACTCTGCTAGCTTGTAGATTAACCAGCTCCATACCAAGTTTCTTAAAATTTGTTCATGTTTTCCGTTGACATGTTATAAGTAAGTAGTAAAATTGCATGTCTAGATCATATAAAAACAGTTTTGACTGTCTCCTCTAAACTTTCGTCAATAATTATTTTGAAAAAAATAAAATCCAAAAATGTCACGTATATGCTCGTTTAATATATAATATAGCAATTAAGAATTTTAATCCTTTAAAGTAGACCTTATGGTGGATTTTTAAAAATGAAAATATAAAATTATCACTGTTGACTTGAAAAATTAAGATACATTTAAAGTAGTTGTAAGTTTTAAATTTTTTATTTTTAAATATAATTTTCAAAACAAAATGTGCTTGGTTAAAATAAAAGTTAGTTGAGTTTTTAAAATGAAATAACTTAGTTTTTAGAATGGAAAAGTTGTTTAAATTTTTACTTTTCTTATAATATTACTCAATAACAATATTTTCATTTATTTTAAAATATTTACATTTTATCTTAATTTTGTTAATTTCTATCTTAGAATTTTGATAACTTCAATCTTAATTTAAGGATGAGGATAAACAGCTATTAATAGTAAAAAATTATTTTAAAAAAATATTTATTGTATTTTTATAATTTTAATATAATAATTATTTTCAATACAATAACTGTGTATTTTTTTATAAAAAATTTTTATCTGTGGATTCTTAAACTCAACTCTAAAGGCCAAGGTTAATAAAACTCTTTTATCTTTACTATTGTAATCATCACTCTTTACTATTATTACTAAATGTAATTACTAATTTATTCTTTTTATTAAATCATCAATATTTTTATTTCTCATATTTATTATTGTTATTATTATTATATTTATTATTATTTTTTATTTATTATTTATTCAACTATTATCTTCATTAGTATTGATATAGTTATCACAATTACATTATTGTCACTGTTATTACTGTCATGCTCTCAGTATCATAATTAATATCTACACTAATGCCCATTATCAATAAATCATACTAATAATATTGTTATTATTCACAATTATTGCTATGATAACTATAATAAATAATTATTGTTATGTTAAAAAATGTTATTACCACTATTACTTTTAATATTTTTTAATAGCTCTAATTATTTAGAACCATTGTTATTATTACAATTATCATTGTTATCATAATTATTATTGCTATCGTCTTCATAACTGTCATCATAGTCATCTATCACCGTTATCACTGTTATGCTAAAAAAAATATTTGGTTAATACTACTATTTGTTATCCTGAATTCCAACAAATAAATTCAAAGAAGTGAAAATTAAAAATTTGAAACAAAAATGATTAAATTAAAAATTGATTTTAGCTTTTAAACTTTTCAAAACTTAACAACAAAAATATCCAAAATAACATTTAAAAAAATATACTTTAATAACTTTAAAAACTGCAAGAAAAAATAACTTTTTTTCCTTTCTAAATTTAACTTTTTTTTAATATTTAGTTTGGTCCTATTGTAGACCATACTCTAGGTACATTTTCAAGAATCTTAATAAAGAGAAAACTTTTTTCATCATGGAATCCTAATCTCATCAAATGATAAAAGGTTGCACTCTGTACACGCGGGAGAAAGCGCCTTTGGTAGGATGAAATCCTTGTTCATTTACACACAAATTTTCTTCGCTAATTTAAGCATTGAAGTGTGTCTTTTGCAAGTTCTCCCATCTATGTTGTTGAGAAAAGAACATTCATGTCATCTGTGAGAAAAGAAGAAATATCTTTTCTACTTCAATATAGTGAACACAGGACAAACAGTTCTGGACCAACAAGGAGACTGACTCACAATCAACCCCCCAAACTAAGAACACACAAAACCAGTCGAAGATATGGAAACAAAAAAATATAAAATGGAGAGACATGACAATTGAGAAATTACAAAAACTGATGGCCCGATAAACTTGGCTTGTTAAACAAATACAGGAAGAATGGCAAAACAAAAAGAAATATTATGATTAAGAAAAAGCAAAATCTATGTCACAACCACATAGTTCACCACAGCGCTTTTTCCGAGAAACTCCATACAACAAAGCTAACAACCTACAGGGGGTGGGATGAATGCTTCCATTATTTCACAAAAAGGATCATGGGAGATCCTTACCAAAGAACATCCAATTTTCAACAACTTGAAAATATATGATGGTACTGTGGATTCTTAGGAGTACATCAACAAATTCATCTCTATTATAATTTTTAGAAAGAAGTAAGAGCAATCATGGCCCATATCAAATAAACGAGCATGCTTTAGTGTCAAGGAGTCAAGTTTAGGCCTTATTAATCCTACCCCAACTCAACATATTTCTACCCTTAATCATGAATTGTCTTAAATGTCAAAAGTACTTGTGTATTTGTATGGAAAACCTCTTGTTCAGCAAATGACAAGTTACAGTTTTTAATATGCTCAAGAAAATATCATAATTCTACAAAACTATCCCAATAAGAATGCGTAAAAAACTCGTAGCATGTATTAGCAAATATAAAATCACGCTATACCTGCATGGCCTTCCCTGTGAAGTGTGAATCACTGAATTGAATGGTGAAATGCGATTACTACTTTACCAAAAGGGGAGGTAAAAGAATGAGGTCGAGAGACATTTCTATTCCGTTTTTGGATGGCTTTGGAGAAACGTAACCTGAAATCTTTCATACCTTTACTTTCTTTAGCTGGTTAGGGAAATTGGAGGGGTGTTGGTTGAGTGGTTAATTTCTATCATTTACCAATGCACAGTGCTGATTTTCATATCCAAGTTGGGATACCCAAATAGTACTATTAATATATACATATATTTTTCCCTTCAGTCGTGGAGTTGAAATCATTAACTAGTTTATATATGAAAGACAAATGCATCATCATATCTTATTGTGACTACTTAAATATTCATAATTTGTGTCGACTGCAGATAAGGAAGAAGTAACCCCCACATCTCTGTGCAGCCAAGCAATTTGTGTCAGATTGAAAGAGCTTTATAGCTAGACTGAAAATGACAGTAGGTGGTACGGCTCAGTCAAAAGAACACAAATGTTTGTAATTACCAATTTGTCTTTTATCCTCATTTGATATAATTTTAACACAGTTTGAATTCGATGAATGCAAGATTCTGTGCATGAACGTTAAATAACAACTATTTTAATACAATATACATGATTAACAGATTAATTGCAATGATACCTAGGCTACGAGTTTAGTTCAATTGGTGAGATGTCCAACATCATCCATCAACCAATAAAATTTTTTCAAACAATAAAAATAAAACAAAATACATTTACTGACAAAAACATTGTTCATCGTTAAACAAGTTTATGAAAGTACGATCTTTTCGGACAAATAAATAATTTGCTAAGATAAGCATTATAAATCTGTACTGACAATGCATGTGATACTTCATACCAAAAAAAATTATGTTAATATAAAAGTTATATAGGTTTTCATATGTACGATATATCATGTTATAAATATAATTTTTTATATTAAAAATTTAATTTCTGTTAAAATGATTATATTTCCATAAATAAATTTAACTATGAACATTTCTTTTGATAACATGTGATCTTTTCTTTTAATTGATGGATCTCTTTGCGGTAATTCTCTTAACAAATTTTTAAAATGTTCATGAAACTTGCGGTAATTCATCCTAAAGACATAGTAATTTCTCTTTTCTTTAACTTTAATGAAAAATAATAGAAGTCCGGCTCAGAAGAAACAGTTTCACTGTTCACAGCTTCTTAACTTCGTGGACTTTGGGAAAGTAACATGAATCCAATCTCTCTCCCTATCTCGTTAATTTCTTCAGAAGTACGAGACCCACCCCTTATAATATAGACCTCCTTTTACAGAAAATAAAATAAAATTATGGATACTTCTGTAAAAATAATCTTCATTTGACGTTCCATAGCATCGTATGTAAGAAGAGGAAAACAAGAAAATAATAACAGTAAATCTAATAAGTAACGTAATGAATAAAAAATGTAAACTGTAAAATGTTATCAATGTGTGAAAAAATCACAATTGTTTACATAAACTTAAGTGTTTTTAATTCATTTTTCAAAAAATAATAATATTTTCACAATAATTACAGACAAACCTTTTAAATTATTTATTTTAACTTCCATTCTTTTCTTATCTCTCTTCTTATTATAAATATATAATGGGAATCTTAAGGTATATAAAAATAGGTTACTCTTTCTTCACGTTCTTCACCGTGAACCAAGAATAACCCTAAACCCAAGTACCCCCAACCCATCCACACCAGACAATCACACCCATGTACACATATTTTAACGAGCTGAAAAGCTGAATGATTTGACCCTCTCTTGCTTACGTTGCTTCCACATAATGAGGCACACAATCCACCAATTATGTGTGTCTTATCCTATGTGTTACTTATACCCTATTGTACTATTATTACTACTATGTGCACTCTCTTTCTCTCCCTCTCCCTCTCCCTCTCTCTACAGTCCCCACCCCGTTGATACCAATGAACATGGTCCTGCAGCGGCACACCCTGATAAATATGGAGGAGTATAATGAAAACTGTGCAAAGCAAATCACGGTTCCATCATTGGCCTAAATGAAAATCCTCCGTCTCTTCACTTTCTTAAACCACTTTCTTTTTCCTCGGATGTGTTATAGTACTTAGCATGTAGTTTCTTTCCTCAGAAAAAAAGATTTGTATAAAAAAGGTGTACTCTATTAGCTGAGGAGCTAGCTAGGAAAATAGACAGATAAGATACCTCTTCTTCTTTCTGTGTGGTCCTTAATCCGTTAAGCGACCTAGGGTTTTAATTTGTCCGTTGGAAATTACAAAATCTTCAGATTTAAAAATGTTCCCTTCCACTAATTACACCTCCTCATGTTCTCACCCTTGTTTCCCTTCTGCTGCTGCTTCACCATACCCTCCTTTTACTTTCCTTAACCCTGAAAATTCTTCTGCAAGCAACACCTTTCTTCATGACCCACTTTCTATTACCTACATACCCACTCATTACCATGTTCCAGTCACTGAAACACTAACCAATTGGGCAGTTGCAGATTGTGCTGCTGCAGCAATGCTCAATCAAGATTTCAATGCTTCACTTTATGGCCTTACCAAGAAACCAACGAAGAAATCAACCAAGAAAGACAGGCACAGCAAGATTCACACTTCTCAGGGTTTGAGGGACCGAAGGGTAAGGTTGTCCATAGAGATCGCACGCAAGTTCTTTGATCTTCAAGACATGTTAGGGTTTGATAAAGCCAGCAACACCCTTGACTGGCTCTTCACCAAGTCCAAGAAAGCGATTAAGGAGCTAACTAGAAGCAAGCACAGCGTTGACAGCTTCTCTTCATCTTCGGAGGCTGAAGTGGTTTCAATGATTCACCAAGACCTACAACAACAACAACAACGGGTAGATTTGAAAGAGATGAAGTTGAAAGGGGCAGAGAAAGAACCTGCTTGCGTTAAGACAAAGATGAAGGAATCTAGGGAAAAGGCAAGGGCAAGAGCTAGGGAAAGGGCTAGTAGCAAGATATTGTGCAACATAACAGGTTCGAAGAAAGTGCAAGACATGAAGAAAAAGTGCCCTGAAACTGAAAATCCTCAAATCCTGCACCAATTGAGGTCACCCCTTCGACCACATCCTCAAATTGTGATTGTGGGCAGTGAAGAACCAAGAGGTAATGATTTCAACGTTTTTGAGGAATCCATTGTGATCAAGAGAAAGTTGAAGCAATCTTTGATGTCTTCCACTCACCAAAACGTTGTGATCCCTAAGGACGCAGGTGTAAACAACAGTGACTACAACTCCATTCCCAATTTGTCTCCAAATTGGGAAGCTAATAATGGTGCTACTGGACGCTCCAAATTTTGTGCAATAGCCAGCATGAATCTATCTACAGGTATGCGTATTTTTAAGGAACAAGCGGCTAATTTCTTGAAATCACTTGTGATACTTACAAATCTATGTCTTGATATTTTAGGGCTCCAAATCTTTGGAAAATCTTGGGATGAGTGCAACAATCCTCATCTATGCTAATATGTTAGTTTTCAATATCTGTTGATCCGAATCTACTGCTTTGCAAAGGAATCATGGAGGCATCTTTCTATGTTTTTCCACCTGCAACTTTTTCTGTCCTATATATATTTCCTTTTGACAATGTCTGTTCTAAATCTTTTTGCTCTTTCAACCAAGGGCAAGGGGACAGTTGGCACAATGGATGCAGCGTGTGTGAATTCTGACCAATATTTTAAGTGTGGCTGATATATTATTATATAAAAGAACTATATGTATCAGGAACCGTCCCTCGATCTTGCTTGCAGGAATATTTATATAATTAGTTTATGATCACTATTGATTAGTATAATCCATGGTTGGAAACTTTTCAAGTAGCCATGTCCCTTGGTCGTATGAGGAGATGGACGTACGTACAGAAGTAAAATTCAGGATATTTGAGCTTTAGATTGCAGTACTGAACTATACATTTTTGTCATTTATCTGCTGATTTCCATTAGTGATCATCCTGAAGGAAATTTTTAATTTCGAAATTTTGCAAGGAATAAATTCAGATAAAGCTGGTTATATTCAGTATATAAGACTTTCATATACATGAAACAAACTAACATGGAAGAATTTAAGTTCTACACCTTAAACTTTCTCAACAGATACAAGAGTAATTTGTAAAAGGTAATGTTTGTTTTTCAAATTTAATTTTTTTAATTTTGCACAAAATGCTTTTTGCTTTATCTCAAACATTGTCTTTAATTTATTCTACCAGGTTCAGGTTAAAAGCATATGATCATTCCTTTTGTTTCCCTGTTTTAAATTTAATTATCTTAATCATTGTGTAATTGTGCAATATTGATCTGAAGGCATGGTCGAATATGCTAGTTTGCTAAATGCATATGATTGAAGTAATGGAGAAATTTCAACTCTAATATAGTTGTTAGGCCTTGCTAACAAGTATCTTAAAAACGTTCGTTAATTGAATCATGTAAAATACTCTATCAAACGCTTTTAATAATTCGAAAAATTAAATATACAATAAATCTTGGGTTTTTTAAATAATAAATATAATTTTTTATTAAATATATACTTTCTACTTTTGTTTTTAGTTAAAATCCCAAAGGCTCATTGTTATTCTATAATAATTATTATGGAAATGGACTCAATTTCTATTCCTATGTTCCAATAACTTATCAAGTATTAATTCCTATAGACACAGAGATAAAGCATATGAATCAACTTGCATCCATGCAATTTAATAATAAGTCTTGAGTAGATTGGTATGCTCTTACATTTAAAAGGAGATTCGTCGTCTTCTTTATGAATTTCACAGAAAATAGTTATTTTGCATTTAGAATTCTTAGATATATCTTTATCAATTTTGAAGGAAAATCGACAAAAAAATAAAATAAAATTCTAGATGGCCCACGGTGGACAGGGTAAAGGGTGAACTTGTACATATTAAAGGAACATGTTATATAAGCTTGTTATTATTTTCATTTTTGCAGCTTATATAAGATTCGGTTGTATCAAGTAGGTATATATAAAAACATCATGGATTTGGCTTAGGTTAATTAATTAGCACTTCGGAGTCCAAGCACTCATGACTTAACAATGACGACTTTGTTATGCAGAAATTTTAAATTATCCACTAACATGTATTCATTCGTATTACAACAGTAGCAACTCTGTTCACTTTTCTTATTTTCTTCTTTCCCAATCATTGATACGTAGGTCAGTATTTTAAAGAAGTGAAATGTACTTAGATAGCTTCGGCAGATAACTGGTGTACTGATTTTGGGCATTTTCATTTTATGTTTCAAAGACAATTTGATGTCTGACAGGTCAGCTGGACTATTTTCCTATGTAATTTTGATTTTCTTCTACCTATTACTACGAATTGGTTTATATTAAAAGTTTCCGATATATATAATAGAAATCAAAACCACTGGAGTTTTGAATCTTGTCAATAATAAGTTGCATACAAGTTCATTGGTCTTTGGGTCTAACGCTAAAAGATTTGAAGTTCACATACAAAAATTCTATCCATCTGGTTTATCAAGATATCTAAGTGAATTAATTGAATCGGTGGAAGTCTAATTTATTGTGGCTAGTAGCATAGTTTTACCATTCAGAAGAAACCACCTAATTCCAACAAACAAAAAACACTTTTCTAGCCTTATAGAAAGATATTCGTGTTGTTTATTTATTTAATATTCTAGTGAAGATATATTTACACATCAGACCAGAACATGGATCACTTTTCTAACTAATTAAAAGTATCTATACATTAGTGGGTTTCTGTAGAGGAATTATAACGACAGAGAAATTTTTAAGAAAATGTTTATGTATCTTCTTTCTCACTTATTTACCATATGTAACTTCTTCCACTCACACTAATTAATCGAATTTGCAACATTCATGCCCACTTCCGCTTAACTCATGTTTTTTTATTTAACCTATTGCTGATTTGAGTCATCATAGCTTGCACACTCTGGTGTTTGCTCATTTTTCGCATCCTCTCATATAAATAATACTCTTTTCCTAAGAAAAGATCCATACAATTTTTTAGATAAGCATAGAAAATTTTATTGTAGTAGAAGATGTACTTAAGTCTAAAATAAGTTAAACACCATTAAAAGTTCTACATAATTCATATTATATGTTTATATTTCACAAAAATTGTGTCAATATCTTTTCCTAAACTATTTATAGTAACTGCCACAAAATGTAACATAAAAGCGCACTGTCAGGAAATGCTTATGGTTGAAAACAAACTCAAACATTCTATTCATGTATCGTTCTTGTGTGTGTAAAAACATGCTTCACGGTGGATATACAATTACTGCCGAGAAGGACTTTATATTAGCACGGAAGCCATTAGTAGTGATTCATTATGAAATCGTTAACAATGACCTTTGTTAACAAATCACCAAGAAAAGGTTGGTTGAAAAGAAAATTTTGAGACTTATTTTTTATCATGGCACCATTAATAAGTATTAATATTTTTTAAAAAGAAAATGATGGCATGGATCACCCATATTAGTCGTTTCTAGTTTCATTCGAACATTCAAATGAAGGTGGAAAACCAAAACCAAATCATGTATGCTAGTATTAGAAACCAAAACCAATTCACACCGTGAGTGAGACAAATTAACACAGTCCTCTCATATTACGTTTAGTACATGAAGTCTACCAGACTAGACAAATGAACATTTACAGTTGAACTTGCATTCAAATTAAACAGGTTCTAATAAAAAACTAGATCTTATAAAAAATATTCTACTTTATTTTTAATTAATGTGAGACATTTTAACATCTATAAAGAAAAAATGTTATAGAATTTTAACATTTTTGCTTGATAATTGGAAAATATGGTGTTATATGATAATTGATCAAGGGCACGGGCACCCAATAATTTTTCCCTAGAAACTCTCCTATCTCCCAATCCCTCTCTCGTCAAACCTTCTCCAACGTTTCAGACACCATGCCGTATAAAGCAATCGATATGTTCATCTCCACGGTTGCCATCACGTACAGCAAATAGAACTTGAAACTTCCCTTCATACCACACTCATTATTGTGGGCTAGCAACCTTTGTTGTCATTCTTTGTGAACATCTTAAACCCGTTTTCTTATATTCTAAACTCTTCACTTTTACACCACCCCTTACAGATCAGTGTTCATTTGCCCAAATATTTGTCCATCACTCATACTGCACCACCCGGAGCAAGTGAAAATGAGGAACATTGCGTGATTCTAGTTTGGTTTGGCTCAGTAAGAGATCAATAAAGAGGCAGAGCTAGGAAGGCATTATTTTTATTTCTTTTACTATACCTATTATTTAATATGCTTTTAAAAAAGTGGAATAACTGAAATTTTGATTTTGCGTTTATACATTTTCCTTTTTGATTGAATTTCGATGGAAGAATTTGTAAGCATTTAATTTGGTTGGAAGAATATTGCTTCCTACATTGAAGTCTTCTAAGAAAAATTTTAGGAAAGCATATAGAAAACGAAAGCTTGCATTTTTAAGAAAAAAATAAGTCCAAGAAACAGCTAAGCTTTTTTTCTTTTTTTTTTTTATCTCCCTTTTCAGTCAAGAAACCACTATGCTAGGTTACTGATCTGTACCCAATTTTTTGTAAATGCTAACAGTACCCTTTTATCGTGCAGTCACATGTTTAGGTGTTATCTGTTCATGTAAATCTTGTTAACTATTGAGGAAACTCTTTTCTATATGTAGTAATATGTACATATGATCTAACAACAGAATTAAGTATGCATTTGAATTAGTTTCTTTTAAAAATTTATTATTTTTTTATAATTTCTTTTTAAAGTTTCCTACAATTTTTTTTAAAATTTAACTAAAACATATACATTCACAGAATAGATTCAAGTCATTTGTCGACATAAACTACTTTCCATTGCTCTTAGTGTAGTCAACCATAATAAGAGTGCATGCGTTTCTTTACTTGACCAAACTTCCTCCTATGTACATATTTTTAATGTCTCTTAATCCATTCACTGGTACGTTTTTTTTCTGAATGTCTCTAAATAGAGTTATGGATCTTTTTAATATTATGGAACATATATTTATGAATTTATGCGTCTTTATTCGGTTTCAATTAATGAGATTACTACTTGGTACTTGGTTGCTTTCAGACCAAAATCACTTTTCCAGACGACACAATATGACAGAATTAATTGTGTTTGTCAACTAATATTTACATTTAAAATTAATATTTTGGTATATGCTAATCATATCTTTCAACCTACAATCAAAGATTAATTTTTTCAAAAGATAAAAATTATTAAAGTAAACTTAATCTGTTTAAATTTTTTTATTATACATACAATTAACAAACTTCTAATAACATGTTTAAAGGGCATAACCATTTACTAAATATCCTTAATGTTGGTTTTATGATAAGTAAATTTAATGGTTAAATAAATTTAAATTTAGATTTTTATGGAGAGACATTGATTTGGATGATAGCTAGGCTTAAAAAATTATAATAAATTACACTTTACGTCATTGTAATTTTATGCCTTCGCAATTTATCCTCTTATACTTTTTTTTTAAAATTAAAAGCTCCCTTACAAAAATTGAAGTGATACATAAAAAAATAGCACGACAAGATGTTTAATAACATGAGAAAGAAAATATGAATTTAATGACAAAAAATAGAAAGAAAAAATTGAAATGGCGTGAAATTATATATAAATAAAGTATAATATCTATAAAAAAAATATATTTAAACACTTAGAATATGATTCTACTTTTTAATTCAAGCA